CGTGTGGCCAACCCAATTATGGAATGCCTCATTGCAAAAGCGAAATTAAGTATGACAACTAAGCTTGCTTGGGCTGGTCACTTTTTTGGCAAATAATGCTTTCTGGTTCTGACGACGCCTGCACCGACGGGTTGTCGTTGAGGGACGGCGAGTCGACGGCTTGGCACACCATCATCCATCTTCGGTTTTCTGTAAGGCTTCTCTTCCTCCCAACCAAATTTTCCCTTAAAATACAAAGCCAAGTCGCATTGAATTACTAAGAGCCTTTTCCAGCCCCGGCTTTTATTCATGTTTTACTTTGGACTTGTTCTGATGGTGTTCTCAGGTGTCTTGATTTTTTGCTCACCAACAATCATCCCCTCGACTTGCGATGCTGAATTCCTAGACCTGTTGAGGCTTGCCGTCATGACGACATTTTCTACAGTTTCCTTTTTGCATGAGCCTGTCTGGAACGAAGTCGACACCCACTGGGATACTTTGCGCTCAACTCAACTCGACAAAAGATCGAGGCGATGACGCTACTTGTTCAATCTCATGTAGTCGTTGGTCGCTGGGGCGCGGGTCTGCTCATAGTGACTGAACTGGTACCACTCATTGTCACGGTGAAGGGTGACATGAAGCCCAACTTCATTCTGATGCTCTTTCTGTCCACTTTGGCTGATTGTCTGTTTGCGATTTGGGCTTTTTTGCCGAATCCAATTCAGCTAAATTGCCACACACAAGCAAGTCACGACGTCCAGTTTCGCTGCTATGACTGCTGTCGGCGGGCGTGGCGACGTGAGCAAACGGTTTCACGTGTCAGATCAAGACCGCTTCACGGCTGACCTCAGAGGATCACTGCCGGCAGCAGTCGGCACGAGTCGTCGAACCGGATGCTGGGCTTCTGAAGCCGTTTGCCAAGCCGGCACGATGAACCCGATGTCTTGTTGTGCAGGCCTCGAAGTGTGCTTGCAAAGCATAACCGTCGCGATGGCACCTCAGCTGCTAACTTGTAGGCCCATGCCGCAGAGCTGAGTTGGCTATGCTTGGTGATTTTGAGCAAAGAGCACATGAACACCGCTTGCCAGGCTTCGGTGCACGCATGTGTGTATGCTTGCATGCATG